CCTGACTGTCAGGAAGTGCTTCCTGGCATCCAAATGGAACCTTGGCTCCCTGAGCTTTGCTCCGTTGGAGCGCATCCTGCCTTCCTCTGCAGGGGAGAACAGGTCCCTACCCACCTCCATGTGACACCCCCTCACACACCTGTATGCCGCCAACAGATCCCCTCTGAGTCTCCTCCAGGCTGAAGAGACCCAGTTCCCTTTTCCTTCTTACAAAGATCTAAGACTGGATGCATGAGCCCGCTCTTTTCCATTTTATCCTCACAGCAACCCTGCGAGGTAGGTTGGGTTGAGAGTCAGTGAGAGTGAACTTTATAGCCAAGTGGGGACTAGAAACTAGATCGCTTGAATGCCACTCCGGCGTCCGTATTTCTATACCACCTTGTCTCAGTTAATCTTATCTTCTCGAAACATGTGCTTGCTTATTTTCACAGGGCTTTCTTGCAGGAAAGTGTGAAGAAGACATTTATAGCATGCTGTGCCAATTGCGTAGTAAAGAGAACATAGCAATTGATTTATTTTGTAATCCAAATCCCAGCTTCTGAGTTGCATGTCTGGTTAGTACTTGTGAAGATTTGTAAAATATTTGCAAGTTTTAGAAGAAATCCAGGCAGGTAAAAAACAGCCTGTACACATCAGTAATGTTAAACTATTTTTTAGCATGTAAGTTCGGGGCTCATGTGTTCCCAGCATCATTCTTCTGACAGAGGAGGAGATAGTGTAGAGGAAGAAAGGGAAACATTTGTTTCTGTTGTCAGTTAATCACAGTTTACCATAATGTCCAAACCCTAAACTATGTTAATCTTAACTATGATTTATTAAAACAAGTCAACTTCATAAATCATGATTTGAAGTTGGCTTGCCTTGGTAAATCATAGTTAAAGTATTTGCCCTCTAGGGCATTTCATGACTTGTCTGCCCTATGGAAGAGGCTTGAGGCATTCCAGGGAATGGCTTTTCTCTGGATTCTGTTGGGCTGTTGCTGGACACGTGGCAGAGTTGCCCAGGAAGTCTGTGTATCTGGGACAGGATCCAGGGCCCTTCAGATGCTTCGTTCAATATGCAACGAATGTATATATACCTGTTGCTGGTTTTCTGCACAGAATCCAGATGTTCTGCCTTAAGTAGGTTCTGGGCTAGTTGTGCTCTGCTCGCCACATCTCAGGCAGCAGGGTTTTCCCGGGGGGGGGGGGGGGGGGTTTCTGGCTTTAGCTGGCAGGGCTGTTATTTCTCTAGAGCCGCCTTCCCCATCCTGACATCCTTCAGGTGTGTTGGCATGCAGCTCCCATCTTCCTGCAGCCAGCATGCCTGGACTGACGGGTGATGTAGCCCCACATATTTTGAGGGTGGCATTTTGGAAGAATCTTGGCTGGGGTTAAGAAGCCCCTTTCCCTACGTATCACTGGACCACAGAAGCATTTCTGCAACCTTCGGAAAAGAAGCGACATCAAGGCACCTTGCCGTGTCCCCGAGTTCTCTTATTTTATTTTAAATTCTCCACTCCTCACCCCACCCTCCCAAAAAGCCCCACTGCAGCACTGCTCATGTCCATTCACCCTCTTTCCCGACTCCCCATGACTGGCGAATAGGGTGACTTTTGCAACCACAGACAGTTTCAAAATCATGAATAATTTTGAAACGCCTTGATAGAAAAACAAATCTGGATCCGCCCTGCGGGCATTTAGAGGAAATCTTACTGCATCTCTCCATCAATCAGAATCTGCCTGGAATTCAGAACCTGGAACTGCACAAGAATAAAGCATTCAAAGCAGAAACCGACTCCTTTGGGAGGTACATTTCCACTAATACGTTTTAGCACCACGTGCCGTTGGCCAGAAGTCTGTATATATGAACCTTCAAGGAGAGGGATGCATTTAATTAAATCTGCCCCTCTCCCAGCTTGTCGTCGGTGCCTGCGATGAAGAGGGTGTTGGAGCAAAGATTAAAGGGGGCGGACACCGCAGAGAGCTCTTTGGAGCACTCCTCTGCACTTAAGCACCAAAGTGTCCGGGAAAAAGATTGCCTGATAAGGGGGGCTGGTCTGTGGTTTGTGCTTTGGGTTAATGTGTATTGTTTTGAACCTCCTCAAAAAGGGGAAGGAAGCAAGCCTGCATACCAGCCCCTCGGGAGTCACTGCACTGAAACCTGATTTGACTTCTGGAGGGGTGACTGATGTCTGACACTTATGCAAACCTTCAGCCTAGGAGGGCATTTCCCCTGAAAACCCCAACCAGCCAGGATGTCCCGTCTGCGCTTGCCCATCCAGCTTGCCGGGATGTATTTTTCTCTGCGTGCTCGAAGCCTCATCGTGATGCACATGGGAAGCACACTTGAACACTTTCCATTCATTTCAGGAGACTTCCTTCCAGTGGGGCTTCCAAGCATTGGTAAAAATAGGTCACCTTTCCCTCGAAACAACGCCACCCTCAGTCTTCGGAGCGCGCATGACTTGGCTGTGTGACTCGCTTCGTCCAAGGATGCTAAGCGAGAGGGCAAAACGATGAATCCAGCCTGCAGTGATTCAGGTCTTTATTAAAACAATAACCGTAACTTGAAGCTGCCTGCATCCCGGCCTTCTAATTCAGCAAGCTCACTGCAGCATTATGGAACAATTTATTGCACATCGGTTTGAAAAAAGGAAAAAAGCCAGAGGCCGACTCGTACTGTGAGCTCTGCAGACCTGGAGAGACGGTTTTCTAATTTCTGCTCCCTGCTGTCCGTTGAATTCTGCGCCCAGGACCAATTCTGCACAGTGAGGTCACAACTACACAGATAGTGAGTGTATGAACTCTGTGGTCTCACTGCTCAAGCATGGGCATCTCACTGCTCAAGCATGGGTGCAGAATTCCAGCTTTACAAAGCAAGTTTCTAGTCCTTGAGGTGGCAAAGATGTTTGAAAGTATGTAGGGCTGCAGGACTGAAGTAGAAATAGTATCCAGAGCACTCAGTGAAGCTTCTAGGTTGGTGATAGATATTCAGTGCTCCATATAACTCCTCCCCATTCCTGCCTCACTTCCAGAAGCTAATGAAAGCACATGAAAAAAATCCATGCACATTTACCTGGGCAACAATCCTCTCTGTGCTTCCCTGGAATTAAGTTCCCTTTGTAGAAATGCATAGGGTTTTCCAGTAATATCAAGCAGGTCAAATGGTTCTTTTCCCTCAAATGGTTCTTTTCCCTTAAAAAGTGTCTCTGTGTTACAGAATATCGCCTCACTCATACAATCTCCTTCCATGCCTCAACCCCGTTATGTTCTTGCCAACACCCTTGCAAGGTAGGCCAGGCTTATTGCTCATGTTCTGGCCTCCGCCTGGCTGGCAAGCAGCTTGGTTGGGCAGAGACTTGAAGCAGAGCTCTCCCTAGTCCTGGCTCAAGCTCCCCTCCCACCACTGTACCAGCCTGCCTCTCTCTTGCACAGTAATAAATCTGGCGACTCCTCAATCGCAGGTTAGCTGCCTGCCAGCAGAGACGCCCGCTGCTAAGTGCCGGGCATGTCATCCCGTGCATCCAGCCACGAGGCGCTTAGCCTCTCGGCAGTGCTGCGGGGTTGCTGCGTTCCGCTCCCTGATGTGCTGGAGCTTCGCAGGCATGCGCAGACGCATGCGCCTCCTTGTGTGCAGCAGCCACATTTTTCCTTGGGAATCTCGCACGCCTTGTTCCCGATCCAAACCTCTTACGGAAGGTGCTTGGAATGCAGGACAGGCAGGCCGCGATGTTTCCCGGGCCTGGCAGCGATCCACTCTCCAAGCCCCCTGGGCACGCCGTGTGCCACCCAGGAAGGCCGCCTGCCAGCATCCTCATTCCTCCTCGAACTTTCTGCCTCCCAGAGCAGCGCAAACGGCTCGGCGGCTCCCTCGGTCGTCACGCTCACTTCCAAATGCGTCGCTCCACTGTGCACTGGGCGCGACCATTCCAGGGAGTTACACAAATCTCCCCTCCCAGGTGAGGGAGCGTTGCGGTGGAGGAGGGAAGGGCGAATGTGTGTTGCATTTGTGAGCACCAGAAGGTTGTGACCTGGGAGCAGGCGGAAAAAAGAATCCCCGTATAGAAGAGGCTGTTTCTCCGGGCTGCTTTTCAAATGCATTTTCAAGCTTGTACAGTTTTGCAACCCATAAGGACTAGCAACTTGCAGAGATTTTTGGGATGCCAGAGTTTCATCAGGTACTGGAGAGGGTGGCGGGAGTAAAAATCCCACGGGCATGTCATATACCAAGAAGGCTTCATCAACACACCATGGTGCGTCGGCGGTGCTGGGGCTAGCAGAAGCTCTTGCCGACTGTCTTATCCTGCCCCTCTGAAGCTGACTCAGTGTTTCTGGCACATGCCCTGTTGTAAAGATGAGTCACCTGGTTTTGCAGACTCGAGGCTTTCATTGTCCAGGACTAGTACCATCTTGACCCAGAGGTGGAAAGGCTGATGCAAGCACCGCGGACATCCACACTTAAGGTCTTTTGAAGGACTAGTGTGTAATAATGTTTGCACTAGTACGATGCTCTGTAATACGGCAAGCACCTGGAGCCTATTACCTTGTACATATTATCTTGTATTATCCGTTTGTACAGTCACCCTGTAAAGTAGGCAATGGTTATCGCGCCGTGGATTGAGCACTGGGGACCGAGGCCACTACATTGCTTTGCTGCGTGTTTTAGTTTACTTCCTAGTTTACAGATCAAGCTTTTAGTGACTGGAGGAGGAGCAGGCGGCGGCTCTCTGTGGCTACTGGCCTTGCTGGCTAAGGGCTGCTTCCATTCTCGGAGGTGGCATGCCTGCACGGGGTGCTGAGCACTTCGGCCTGGGGGACACTTGCACCCATCCTGCTGGAAGGAGCCTGTGGGCAGCTGGCTTGCCACCCTGCGAACTGGACAGCCCACTGGCCCGATTGTTCTTTGTTCTTCCTCCGGTTATTCCCATAGCCTGGTTTGTGCAGCGCAGCACGAAAGCCGGAGAAAGGAACGGACACCGTTTGAGCAGCCCCCTTTCTTCTCTCTCCCCTCCCCTGCAGCATGTGGTCCGCAGCTGACCAATTCCCCTACGGTGATTGTCATGGTTGGCCTGCCAGCTCGGGGGAAAACCTACATCTCCAAGAAACTGACCCGCTACCTCAATTGGATTGGCGTCCCCACGAAAGGTAAGGCTCATGTCGCCCTTTAAAACGGCACAGTTTGCATTTCCAGAACCCCTCACCTTACTTGCTGAAAGGGCAGCCTTGTTGGGCTGGACACTCGTTTGGTCAAACTCAAGAGCTGTTGCGTGGATGACAAATCCTCCTTAAATGGTTTTCCCCAGGAATACTTCCCTGAAAGCGAGTCAACGGAGCTGCTTCCTAGCAAATCCATAGTTTAGTGTCTATTGGGCTTCTAGAGTTGGGTTACATCTTCCAGACATTCTGTTGTTGGGAAATTGCCTGCATCTTCTGTATGTGTGAAAGTGTGTTTCTAAGATGTACATAGAAGAGACTTGAGGTCCCAGATTCAAATCCTGCCCAGTCAAAAGGATTCCAAGTGTAAGGGAGGCGACTGGTTAGGTAAGACTGTTCTTAGTTCAGCAGAGGAATTGTTTAGCTTCAAGGCAGGTTCATCTATAAGGGTATCTAGCTCAACCTTCAGCACACACGTGGTCTAGAAAAACCCCAGTTGAGTCCTGCTACCCCCAGTTAATGACTGTCAGGCTGAGAAGAGCCACTGTGGGTCCCCTATGGGTTGATGTCCACCCAGGTGGGCCACCTGGTGCCGTCCAGTTGCATTGGACTGTGACTCCCATCATCCCTGACTCCCCTCATCCCAGACTGGCCGAAGCTGATCGGAGTTTTACATAGTCCCCATCTGGTGCTGGTTCAGCACTGAAAAGAACGTAGCAGCCCATGAACTGATTCCCCTTCCCGTCCTTCACATGTCCCTCGTTGCCCCGTCAGCGGCTGGAGGGAGACGAGCGCAACAGGAAAACCTTGGCAGGTGTCTGCCACAGAGGCAGCCCCAGCTCAGCCCCAAAGGTAGCCAAACCCCCCTTTGCCAGAGGGCAAGCAGCCTGGTTTTGCCTGGGAAAAAGGGCCGTCGGGTTTTATTTGTTGACCTGACGTGCGAGGCCGACAGACCCTCCCTCCTTGCCTTGCAGTCTTCAACGTCGGAGAGTATCGCCGCGAGGCTGTGAGGCATTACAGCTCCTACAACTTCTTTCGCCCTGATAACGAGGAGGCGATGAAAGTCCGAAGGTAAGCAGAACTGCGCTCCAGAATGCCTTCATGTGGCGGGCTGACAGTTCTCACCTGTGCTGGCCGGGACCTTCTCTTGAGGAATCCTACTCTTTGCCCCAGATTGTGGGGGAAACAGGAGAGCAGTGCGAGAGGATGATCCTGCAGGGTTGGCTTTTGTGTGTGTAGGTGCTCCCTCGCCCCGGGATGCCTTCGCCCCGGCAAGGTGGAGCTCGGGTGAGGCCAAGGAGCTCTGGCTAGCCAGCGTGTGAAGAGTAAGGGTAAAATGGCGCTAGAGCTCTCCAGCACGGTTGCACTTGGGGAGGGAAAAACAGCCTTTGTGGAGAGGTATTGGCAGCATCTGTCCAACAGTGTGAACCCAACATGTTTCAGTGGTTGGTTTCCCTCGGTGGCCCAGGGCTTCCTCCTGGGATGTCAGTGTTCAACTGGAGAGCTGCCAGTCGGGGGTCAGGGAGCAGCAGAAATGCCCAACGTGATCCTTCAGCAGTTCTTCCTCTCGAGTTCTGGAATGCGTTGTGTTTGCAAGCTGAAAATGGACTCGGTATTTACCTCTGGCCACCCTGCCAGGCTCGGGGTAAGAGTCAGTGCGAGCAAGATGTGTCTCTGGGGCACAGCAAGGGAGGCCTGTTTGGATCTGGCAAAGCTGGGAGTTTCGGACAGCCTGGAAATGGCCTTGGGTGCATGGACACATTGTCCTTCTGAACAGGACACAGTGGCCTTCCCTACCTTGCTGACTGTCTCTGTGTAGTCCAGAAGTGTCTCAGGGCATATTTTGCTGATAAGGGAAAGGTATTTGCTGTAAAACCTGTGGCCTTTCAGTTCAGTTAGCTAAATGTATTAATTTCTTAGGTGATGTAGGAATGATCTCACCAGTGGCACAGCTCAGAACACAATTGCCTTAGACTTGAGCTTCCATACCAACAAAGCGTGATGCTAGTCCTCATGGCGCTAGATAAATTAGCAGAGAAATTCCCCTGTGGAATCGAAGTGCCGGCTGTCTCACTTGCTTAGCAATTCTGGCGGACTCTCAGGGAGCAACCGGCTGTGTTAAGTCAGTCACAATTCAGAGGTTTGACTCCTTTTTGCCACCTTGAGATATTTGCTTTGCTAGCAGCTTGAGGCAGGGCCTGTGGTGGCTCACCAGGGTCTAGATGCCATCTTGGTGGTGGAATCCAGGGAGCTGGAGGGAATTGGTAGAGGATCCTCTTAAGGGGGTTGGGGGAGTACATTGCCTTTGAGTTCCTGCTAAGCCCTTAATGCACTTTCCCCTTTTGCAGACAGTGTGCCTTTAACGCCCTGAGAGACGTCAAAGCGTACTTGCTGGAGGAGGGTGGCCAGATTGCGGTGAGTGCCTTTTCTGCCCGGCTGTCGTCTTCCCAGCGTAGTGATGTGCTGCCTCTGCCGCTTGAACGCAGTTTCCTGTTTTGGCCGTGTGCGTCCACAGCTGGCCCCCAGTGGAAGGCCTTCCTCCGTGCGTGTGGGCTCAGCCGGTGGGCTTGGCCTGTGCCACGCCAGTCTCCACCTTCTCTTGATTAGTGTGCCGAGATCTTGGTTTGTGTTCTTCAGTTCACAGAACAAGAGAGTCCTTGTTGGAATCTCTTAACTGCTGCGATTGCTAATCCTTACTCGATTGTTGCAGCCTGACTATGTATTATTGTGGTTAATAATAATAGCATTTCTATCCTGCCCCACAACAGACGCTATCTAGGTGGTTTATTATTTATCTATTAATTAAAAGCTTTTCTGTCCCGTCCCCTACAGAATGTCTCGGGACGGCTTTACAGCAACATATAAAACAGCACAATAAAATGCACTTCAGATATCATCAAAGTAACCATGTTCAAATGCATTCAGAATAGCTTAAAATACAGTAAAAATCCGGTTAAAAGACCCAGCAAAGAAGAATTGCTCCTCTCATGCCCCTGGCTCACCAAGGAGATCTTTAAGACCTCCGCAGAGAGGGCTGTCTTGACCTGGCGGTGAAACGATGGCTAATTTGGTGCCAGGTGGGCTGCAGGAGGGAGGCTGCCGCAAAGACATGGGGCCACTTGCTCAGACCGGAAAAGCCTGTGGGATTCTGGGAATTGGAGTCCCTGCCAGATCGAGGGTGGTGCTAGTAGGCCATGCCTAGGCAGCAGAAAAGGTGGCTTGCATGTAGAAGGTCACCCCTCCAGTCCACGGCCACCCGCAGTTTTTATTTTTAAAGGGCTCAGGCACAGATGACGGGAAAGATTTTTGCCTGAGACGATGCCGTATCTTGGGCTTGATGGGAAGCCAGCTTGGGGGCCTTCTTTTCCAAGGCCTAGACTTCTGTGCAAGAGAGCCAGTACCAGGTGGCTTCTCAGAAAGTGCCTGCGGCTTCTTGCTCTTTCTGGTCTTGGGTGGAACCTTCCCCAGGGCAGCGACCACCCAGTTCTCCAAAAGGATGCTGTCCTTCCCTGCCAGAACAACAGCACAACGACCAGCCCAACCCCTTTAAATGAAGCCCTCTGTTATCTTCTCCTCCTCTCCCCCCAAAAGGTGTTCGATGCTACCAACACGACGCGTGAGAGAAGGTCGATGATCCTGCATTTTGCCAGAGAAAATGGATTCAAAGTGAGTAAAAAAAGTGTAATAACAGAAAGGACTACCCCGGCTGTTGCTACACCCGCTGCTCTTAGCAGCTGATGTTTCTGAGAAATCGCCATAGATACTGTTATTTTTCCTTTTAAAAAATCATTTTTGCAAGTTTTTTCGTTTTTAAAGCATGTGGGGTGACAGAAGTGGTGTCTGGCTGGGACATTGACTTGAGTCTCCATATCCTTTGCCTGTAGACATTAGAAGGGCTATGAGGGTTTCATTTATCACAGCTAGGAAAGAACTTGCTGCCTGAAATCGCAAAGAGCTGATGCCGGCCGAGTAGAAAATCAGAGGGACAGGCATTCTAGCTGTATGTCACCACCGTCTATGTTTCTCTTGGCCATCCTTTGTTTTAATAACTGTCTTTTTCTGCTCCTCCCCAGGTGTTCTTCATTGAATCCGTCTGCAATGACCCGAGCGTTGTTGCTACCAACATTATGGTAAGCATTAAAAGTACGCCCTCTGTGTCAGTCTTGTCCTGCCTGGAGAGAGAGCCTTTTAAAAGGCTCCCCATTGAAGTCCGAGTCCAATTCAAGGTGTTGGTTATCACCTATAAAGCCCTCACCAGCTTGGGTCCTGGTTACCTAAGGGAGCGCCTGCATCCATATATGCCCTCCCGCCCCGAGATCGGTGGCAGAGGCCCTTCTCCGGGAGCCCTCCATGAAGGATGTTAGGAGGGTGAGCACCCGGAGGAGGGCCTTCTCTGCAGTGGCGCCCCATCTATGGAATGCGCTCCCCAGAGAGGTCCGCCTGGCGCCGTCGTTACTTGCTTTTCGGCGCCAGGCCAAGACCTTTTTATTCAAATGTCATTTTAATTGTTGATTCTATTTATTGATTTTAACAACTTTGGCCAGGATGTCTCCATCTGTATTTTATTGTATTAATTATATTTATTTATTTGTAAGCCACCTCGAGGCTTATGCAGATGGGGCGGCATATAAGTTTGCTAAATAAATCAATCAATAGTGCCATTTGTGCTAGACGTGGACACAGCTGGCTTTACGTGATGCCTTGAGTAGACCTGGTTGAGTGCCGCGCAGGGCTAAAACCTTTACTTGCCCGTGGGCCTCATGCAGAGGTGTTGAACCATGTTTAGCTTGAGGGGGCTTCATGCAGGTGTGCTGAGCAGCTTCGGAAAATGAGGGGAGAGGAGGGGAAGGGAGTAGCGTTGGAAGAGGCCCCTAAATCCATCAAGTCCAGCCCCTGTTTTGCTTCCACATGCAGTCACCCGTCCGGCTGCAGCCCGCACCTTTCCAGCTTAGCGAAGCTGACTCAGCATGCCAGCTTTGCAGGTGATATATAGCTGACAACGTGATTGCATTTCAGGAACCTCATTCTGGGGTGGGGTGGAGTGAAATTGGGCCGTGTCAACCTTCGGAATCGGGGGAACCCCACATAAAAGCCATATGACCCTGCAAAGTGGCGTGTCATGTGGGGGAAGCTGGCCCGGCCTTCCCAGAGGCTTGGATTCGGCCCTCAGGCCTGAGGTTAATGGGGGACCTTAAATACGGAGACAGCGGTGGTATTGTGGAGGAATTGTGATGGCCGGGAGAGACCCGTGAAGCTCGCTGACCAAGGCCTGCCCAGGTCACCCTGCCTGGAAGGAGCTGGGACGCCGCTTCTGGGTAGGCCTTGGCCAGCAGCTTGGCAGGGCCGCTGCCTCCCTCCCTCACTCTCCCATCCGGTTCAGATCGGCCCTCGAGGCTGGCTGCCTGCCACGCTCGGATCGGGCTGGCAGCATCTGATGGGCAGCTTGGGCCGGCCGGGCTCTGTCATTGCTGCATCACCCTCTGACGGCTGGCAGCGAAACAGTGTGGGAATCCAGACGCCCATGAATCATGCCTTTTTCCAGCACGCCAGTAAAAGCGTCCTGCTTGGTGACGGGTTGTTTAATTCCCACCACGCACATGTGCCTTTCTTTCTGTTGCTCCAGGAAGTCAAGTTGTCCAGCCCGGATTACAGGGACTGTGACACAACGGAGGCGATGGAAGATTTTATGAAAAGAATCAGCTGTTACCAAGCGAGCTACCAGCCGCTTGACCCAGATGACTACGACAGGTAAGGAACTGGCAGACTCCTCGCTGTTTCTGAAGGAAACAAAGACATCAATTCTCTGCCTACTTAAAATGCTCTATTAAACCGGCTTCCAGGGACAGGAGTCTCTTTGTTAGAGCCAAAACAAAGCAGTTTACAAGTGCTTTAAAATAAATCTTTGTGTGTGTGAATCACCGAGATGCGCAAAATCGAGACTCATTTGCAAAGGCTGTCGCTTAGTTTTAAGGGATTTGATGCACTGAAAAGTAGGAACAGGCAAAGCAGAATTTGGAAATGCTTCCGTGATCTAGCTGGTGAGATGATTGAGCGAGATGGCGGGTGGGGGTGGGCACTAGTTTTCTTCCCCACTCACAGAAGCTTTGGTAGTTAATTTAATTTAATTACAATATTTATATCTTGTCTTTTACAAAACGTCCCAGGATGGCTTACAAACTATAAATAATCAAACAATAGATCATTATAACAAAATACAGCGCAATAAGCATAACAAAGCAAAGCTGAGCTATGATGTTAAAATCGAGTTAAAATATTTAAATATTAAAATACCGGGCAAATAAAAAGGTAAACAAGTTGCTCTGAGTTTCATTGAGGTCTTCTGAGAGGGAAGGGCATAGAAAAGTCCTAGTTTTGTAACCAGAAGGTGGTACACAAATGAGCTGCTCTTGCTGCAATTCAGTGGGGTTCAAAGCACCTAACTCTGTACCGCGGGGTGCAGAACTTCATTAGGCCCAAGGGCGAAGCTCCATTTTGGAGAAGTTCTTGGTGGCTGCGTTCAAGCGGAGGCCAGCAAAAGGGGCAGGAGCAGAAATTTTAGCATATTTCAGCTTTCCGGCTCTTGCTGCCAATACTTAAGCCTTGGCAAGGCTTTCCGTCCAGCTTTTTAGAAAAGGGGAGAAAGTGCGCAATAGCCAGGAAACTGCCAAGCAGATGCTGGTCGGGAGGATGGTGCCTGGACCCTCTGGAAGCCCAGAGAGCTGGACTGGAACCCCAGGCCCGCCTGTGTCGCCTGTGAAACCTGGGTTGGAACGCTGACGCTCCGCATAAGCCCGTTTTAGGCACTGCCAAATATTTCGGCAACTGATCTGCTCATGGGATGAGATGCTAGCTCCAGGCAGGGTGGGGCTTCTTTGGGGGTTTTGTGCACCGTAGATGTGGGCTCCACAGTTGCTCGAGCGCCACGTGTCTTTTGGGCGGATGGCCTTGCGTTAACGGTTCTCATGCGTGCGGGTTCTTCCTCCCCAGAGAGCTGTCACTGATCCAAGTGATCGACGTTGGCCGGAGGTACATTGTGAACCGGGTCCAAGACCACATCCAGAGTCGCATCGTGTACTATCTGATGAACATCCATGTGCAGCCCCGTACCATTTACCTGTGCCGGCATGGCGAGAGCGAATCCAACCTCAAAGGGAAGATTGGAGGGGACTCTGGACTGTCCAACAGGGGCAAAAAGGTAGGGACAGGGCAAATTCTGTGCCTCAGAGCAGGAAGACGTGTCCTTTCCCACGAATGGGCGTAACTGGGCACAGCCACTTCCAGCATTTTGGTATCTTCGTTGACACACGTGGAATCGGGTTGTAATGGTGCAGACGGATGCCCATCCCTGCCTCTTTGTTTTGGGACAGAACCACCTGGCTTTGCCCAGACTGCCCCTCGCAATCTAAATTATGCCCAAGGAGCCATTATGGGTGTCTGCTCTGAATGTGATATTACGGACTGGAGTCGAAAGAACAAGGGGAGGTCTCCATAAGAAAGGCTAAAGGCCTCAGAGAAAGACGGATGAGCATAGGCCAGCGCTCAATTCAGGAATTCAGACATCTGCATCTGAGGGAAAAGAGCCTTTCGCTTCGCTCCTCTGTAAAATGAGTTGTGCTGCATCTTGGACAGGGAGTTAGAAGCAACGAAATTCTCCAGCCCACATGTTGTTCCTGGCTTAGCGCTGTGCCCTGAAGGCCCCCCCCCCCCGGTGAGGTCTATTAGCTCTTGTTAAGCTGCCAGGTTGTGTCGCAGATCAGCCGGGTGTTGGGTTTTTTTCCTTTTTCTCCAAAGCTGTCCAAACCTTCGAGCAAAGGGCCCCTTCCTTCAGCGCATCCCCTTCAGTGGCACAGGCAGTCCTGCTTCTGTCCTTGGGCTGGCTGGGGTGCTGCCCAGCCTGAGGATGCCGACATGCTGCATCCTGTTTCCATGGTGACCTTGGCAGCGTTGCCTGCTGACCTGACCCAGTTGCTGTCACACTGCATTTGTATCCCACCGTATTCCTCTGGTGAGGAGCCCAAGGAGGCGCACGAAGTTCTCTCCCACTCCATTTTATCCTTGTGACAACAACCCTGTGAGGTAGGGTAGCTGAGAGTGGGGACTAGAACCTGGATCTCCCAGGTTCTCCAGGCCAACCCTCTGAGCCCCACACCGACTCATAATTTTCCTCTCCTCACAGCCTCATTTTCCCAGCAGGGGCCAGGCTAATAGATCTTGCTCTTTCTTTCCTCTCTCGATTTCCCCTGCTTTTTCAGTTTGCCAGTGCGCTGAACTGTTTCATCCAGGAGCAAAACCTGAAAGATCTCAAGGTCTGGACGAGTCAGCTGAAGAAGACCATTCAGACGGCAGAAGCCCTCGAGCTGCCTTACGAGCAGTGGAAGGCGTTGAACGAAATCGACGCGGTGAGTGTCACTGATCCATGGCGGGGTAGGAAAGCCGGCCTGCCCCTTTCCTCCCACTGCCTGCCCCCAATCAAGGAGCTGGCCTGGAGGGAAGGCATGGCGGGGTCCGAAGGTCCTTGTGAGCACACTGCCCATGCTCAGAGGCCTGTAGTCACACTGGGGGAGCAGCCACTGAGCTTTCGGTTATGTGAACTTTACCTTTGCAGTCCCAGAGTAGTAACAGCCCAGGCATAGAATAGAAAATAGACATGCCGTCACTTGTTTACAAGTATAACAGTTCAGACTGTTAAGCTTAAAGCGAGCAACACAGAAGAGCCTACAAAATTGAGGGTGAAGGCTAGGGCCCTTTGGGGAGGGAGTTTCACAACTCCGGAGCCACCACCAAAAAAGGCCTGCCCTTTTAGCCCTCATTTGGTGGGGGCACTGGAAGAAGGACTCAGCAGGTGAGCATACGGTCCAGGTAGGTTTGAAGGTGGAAGTTACTGTTTGGGTATCGTTTGGGATGCACCCAAGCCATCTAGGGCTTTACAGATGCATCAACACTTAAAACATCTATAGCCTGCCTGGCTTCGTCCTAAACCTTAAATCAAGGGCAGAGGTTCTGAGGGCCCTAGCTGCAGCTAGAACATTTTCCTCCTGTTTTTGCAGGGCGTGTGTGAAGAAATGACTTACGATGAAATCAAGGAGAAATACCCGGAAGAGTTAGCTTTGCGGGACCAGGACAAGTACTATTACCGGTACCCATCCGGGGAGGTGCGTCTCGCAGAACTCAAGGGCTTGTTTAAAAGCAGGGCCAAGATCTTGAGGGGTGTGGGTAGAATGTGGCTTTCTGCCCCACCTTTCCCTGGCAGCAGCCCGAGTCCCCCCAAAAGGCTTGCCCCTGGGGGTGGGGGGGGTCCCGCTGCTGCTAGGGTGGCCAGGGGACGAGAGAATCACCCACTCCTGTCTGAGCAACCGTGGATGCAGCCTGCAGCATCTTGCTGCATTCGGATGGTGTGTTTTGCCCCTTCGGACACCAGGGGAAGATGATGGAGTATCAGCATTAGCAGGAACGTGACGTGGAGAATTGGGCCCCTGGATGGGAGGCAGGGGCCAGCGTCATCTTAGGAGATCCTGTGGACTGGAATGTCTCTGTCTCCAGCTACACCCTGGATCACACCAGGCACTTCTGTCTCTTACTCCACCCAACGTTCTGTCCCACTGGAATTACTTCCCAGAGGAGAGCTGACAGATGGAGCGGAGCAGCTTCTCAAACGCCGTAGCCCCAAGACGCGCTTCAGAACGAAGCTGGTGAAGCTCCCGCAGGCAGTTTGGCATTACGGCGAACTGGAAAGCACTCCCGTTTTGCAGCTCGCCGTAAGACGCTCTGAACGTCCTACTTCAGGGTTGGCTGTAAAGAAAGCAAAACAGAAACCCAAATATAAAGACACAAAAGGGAGAAGATGCTTCAAGCCAGCTTTGAGCAGTCGTGCCTCTCCTCTCTGCCTGTGTTCTTACTCTCGGCCCTGGTGAATTTGCCAGACACCTGAGGCCTCTTTTAAAGCCTTTTTGTGCCTCTAGAGCTTGTGAACCTCGGAGAAAAACAACCCTGTGAAACATGTCGCTGGTTTGTTTTGAAAGTAAGGCAGGACAAAAGTGAATTTCCTTCAGGGAAGGAGGAGACTTGCCTCTTTCTGAACCGGGTACATTAGGGAAGTGGGTTCCCTCTGGTTCTCCATCCACAATTGGGTTCTGCATCTTCTAGGAGCATTTCCGGATCCTTTCAATTTCTGTTTTCTTCAGTTTTAGTGCATGTGAATGCGTGTACACACACTCACACTCTTTAGCCATCCAAGTAAGGGCTCAGCCACGTTTCCCCAGAATTGTCTTTTATGGAAAAGTGAAGTCTTTCCTCCTTTGTGCCCCAGGCTCCAAGTGGCAAGATTCCCTTCCTTAAACAGAGGTGGGTGGAGAGGGAAATTTTGCCGCAAAGAGCACCTCCCTTTCCCCGAGGCAGTGGTTCCCTTAAAAATGAAGGGACCGCTTCTCCAGCCCTGGTCTGCAAAAGCAGAAAATGGAGCCCTAGAAAGTTTGTTTAAAGGTCTGCAGCATGTTTTTTTTTCTTGGCAGACACTTGGCACCAAGCAATTCTTGGTGATGGATTTTAAAATTTGCTTTTTAACAGCACTGTTTACGTGGTGTGTGCAAGGTTTCCAGTTTATTAAAAAGCACCCTTCTTCATTGACTTCCCAGCCTGTGCCTAATCGAGACTCTGCCGCCTCTCCAGCTTCCGGAGAAACTCCAGGCAGCACAACCAGGCCTCCAGTTCATGTGTTGCTCTCTATGGGCTTCTCAATCTTTAACCTGCAGGCTTCCCTTTCTCTCCTCAGTCTTACCAGGATCTGGTGCAGCGCCTGGAACCGGTCATCATGGAGCTGGAACGGCAGGAGAATGTCCTCGTCATCTCCCACCAGGCCGTGATGAGGTGCCTCCTGGCCTACTTCCTCGACAAAAGTGCCGGTGAGTGTGTGGAGCAGCCGCGGCATCTCTTGCTCCTTCAAACTCTCTCCCTGCGCCCCAAAGCACTCCCACGAGGGAGCAAATCCCACTGAAAGGAGCGGGACCCGCTTCTGAGCCACACTGCTTAGGACGGCACTGTCGAGCACCAAGCAACGGGTAGACCTGTTGACAAACGGGAAATTGCTCTCTCGTTTGTGTCACAAAAAGTGCAGTCGCCACCAGTGTAACTGACACTTCTGACGAACCGCAGAAAGGCAGGCCCCTGCCCCAAGCAGCCCGCAGTGCAAGGATGGGTAGAGAACAGGATGCAGTCATGTTGGTTACGTGTCCTTGGCTTCCCTTCAGCAGGTGGAGGACTACGGGAGCTGCACTTTCTTGGTGTTTGAGGGGGATTTCGAGGGAGAGAACAGTTGTGTTTGGGGTTCTGGGAGGGAGTTCCAGGCAGCAGGAATTTGATTTGCGGGGGGCGGAATTTCCCCAGATGGCCAGTGATTGAAATGCTAGGAGGTAAAGCCCAAAACTTCTGGAGCTCTTTCTGCCCCCCAGAATCTAGCTCACCCAGCCAGATGCTGAGTGACCCCCATTCTGTGCCACACATCTGGAGGTGTCCCCTTAGAGGAGGACATGGGGTTTGGGGTGCTGTTGAAACCCCCAGCGGAGTGTGATCTCTTGTAAGTCTACGGTTCGGTGTCCTCGGGAGGCATCGGGGTGGGGGCCACCCCCTTGAGAATGGGTGGGCCGGTTGAGAGAGCGTTTCAACAGCTGGTGGACAGGGGAAATGGAAGCAGTTTGGAACAACCCCCCCTTTCCCCCTTGAATTTTCCCACTTCTTTTTCTGGGCTTTCTCATCCCACATAATAGCCACTTGCTGTCGTTGCGGTTCTTTGCTAGCCTTCTCCAGCCTGTAGCTCTCCGAAGGCCTGCCATTCTGGCTTCTGTCATGTAACACATCTGGCCCTCTCCAGCTGATCTCTGGTCTGTTCTCTGTTGCGTTCTCTTTCAGAGGAAATGCCTTACTTGAAATGCCCTCTGCACACAGTGCTGAAGCTGACCCCTGTGGCCTATGGTAAGACCGTCTCCCCAAGCATTGTGTGCCCGGGAAGGGTTTCATTGCCCCTAGGCATGGCCTGCCAGGCTTTGAGAACCTCTGCCTTCCATATTTAAAAAAAAAAAAAGTTTCTAGTCCTCATTGTGCTGGCTGGAATTTTTTAAAAGGCAAGAGCAAGCTATGCAAAAGCACGTGCCTGTTTAAGCACCGAGCCCACAGCTTTGGTTTTTGCAGCGTGCTCTTCACTCCCTTGGCTGATCGACAGAGAGAGCTTAGCCCAGACAGTGTCTCTGGGCCTCACGGGAATGAACTTCTACTCGCCCCGCAACTCGCCGGCAGAAATCTCGTCATTGTGCAAGCTTTGACTGCGTGGCGAGTTTACTGAAATCAGGTGTGCATTTGCACACAGGGGAAAAAGGGAAACGTTCTCTCTGCTAGGGTGACATTTGTCTTGTGTGCCCAACAAGAGGAGATGCCTCGTTCTAAGAGAGCGAGGCTTCCCGTCAGATGTGGGAGTGCACACCTGAGCAGATCGCGCCAACTTGCTGGCAGGTTGCGCAGCGCTGGATTGGAGGATGCTGCGGGCGGGCTGGGGAAAGCTGAATTAAGGGATCCTTCGCATGGGTGCGTGTGCTTAATCACTTGCTTAATTGGGGTCACTGTTTTTCAAACCTCAAAAATCAATTAAAGCACAATCCAGTGTATGGGGAAAAAAAAGTCCATAGTGCCCAGCTTGCCTAAACATGCATACCGTTGCGCCTTAATTGATTTCCTGTCTAACTAGATGCGTACATTTCACAGCTTCTGTTCACTGAACCCATTCCCTGCCATCTTCTCTTTTCCTTCTGCCAGGTTGCAAAGTCGAATCCATCTATTTGAATGTCGAAGCTGTGAACACCCACCGGGACAGACCAGAGGTGAGGGGCCACTGGCCTCTTGAGCCCCCCCCCCCCAATCCCGTCAACTTGGAATGAACCGGGGTAGAAACCTGTATTTTAGAGAACTGATGGAATTCCCCCAGTCCTAAGCAGTATTTCTTCCCAACAGCCAGGTTGTGGTAGTGGCAGTCATTGCAGCCAGCGAGTGGGAATAGTAACCTTTGCACACCTCTTCTGGAAAGTCCGCAGTGGCTCAAGTCTCTAGCTCTCATTGAGGTGGTCAGCCTGTTTGTGGACTGTGCCCTTTCAGACTGCAGCTGGGGCCTACATGGACGAAAATTCATCCATGCCCCCACCCCCCGGTCACGTCACATAGAAAACTAGCATATCGGGGAGATGGGTTCTCATGCAGCAGCTGGCCTGCTGGCTTTCTGTGTGCAAGGAATATTTAATTTTTCACTCACGCAAGCCTCCCTGTACAGCCAGAAGGGGTAAACCCCAGGTTCACCGCCTCCGTGAGGAGAAGCCACTGTGGCTTCTCAAAGGTGTACCTCTCATTCTTCTCATTGCATCTGCCAACACTCTTGTTTGCCTTTCCTGCAAATTTTCTGGCCCTTTCCACTGGATTTGCCTTTCATCTTACGAGGGGAACCCTCACAACCCCCAAATCACCTTAAATTCTCTCTGGAACCAGGCAGGGCTGGCTCTGATTCGCTAATTATAACATCACTCGCGAATGACAAGGGTTGAGAAAGGCAGGGAGCAAGTCTTGCAGATTCTTTAAAAATTGCAGGGTCTTTTGGCGGGTTTTCCACACGCAGATGGGGGGGGTGCCTCCAGCAGGCATGGCGTGTTGATTTCGAGGCTTCAAAGGGGGCACTTGACATGGCACAGCCTGCTTTGACGTCCTTCCGGGGGGCACAGAGGGGGGAAAATTGCTGGCGATTCTGCTGCTTTCAGGGTCTCGCTTTCATTTTTTAATTGTATTGTGTTGTTACATCTCTATCCCACACTGGTTCCCTTTGAAAGGAACCCAAGGCAGCTGCCAGAATCCACCCCCCCCATTTTATCCTCCCAACAACAACCCTGTGAGGTAGATCAGGCCAAGAGTCCACAACTGGCCGCATGTCACCCAGTGAGTGTCATGGTGGAATGACCATCTCCCGAGTCCCAGTTAACTTTCCCGTCCTGGCAGCACTCCGGCTCGGTAGGGCTTGGCCTAATGCAGGGTTGGGACCAGAGCAGGGGGCAGTGAGTGTGTTAAAGTGTGTGTGGGGGCTCTTTCAGAGGGGGGGTGCGCAAGGTGGAGGCATGCTGAACTATCTCCAGATCAGCCACAAAGCTTCAGCCTTTGGGCCTTCTTCCGCCCAGCCCCCCAAGTCTCCCCAAGAAGTGGCGTTGGGACAGACACTTGCAGAGTAAGCAGGTCTCCACCAGATCCCTGAAGGACCAGGTCCTCACTCTGGTAGAAACCCGGCTGTGCCCAGCTAGAAGCAGGGCCTTTTCTGTGTTGGCACTGTGGAATTCCCTCCCACTTGGCCACACTTCCTCTTCAGCTTCGGACACTGACTGAGGCCTTCCCAGTAGGTGTTCAGTGCCGAGGCAGGGCCTGGCAGGCGTGCTTGGACTCGTAACTTTGCCCTGCTAAGAGCTCCCTGGATTTGCGCCTCCCCTCTTATTATTTCATTATTCCTTCGTTGCCTTGATTCCCCGCCTTTCTTCCACTTCCAAGGGCCCCAGGGCAGCTTACAGGATCCCCCTGCTCTCTGCCTTTTCCTCGCAGCGCCAACCCTGTGTGGCAGCTTAGGCGGGAGGGAGTCCCAGGGGAGCATCGCGGCTGGCTGGGGACCCGGCTGCGTCTCCCGGGCCGTCTCCCGGGCCCCGGCCCAGCCAGCCATGCCCGCTGCCGGCCTCTTGCTCCGGCCTGGACAGCGGTGGCGGGAGCCCTTAAGCAATGGCAGTGAAGAGCAAGTAGATCCACGGGGGGGGGGGCTGCTGAGGCTCCCCCCAAAGGGCCCCCACACCCGGAGCCCACACCGAGTTGAGCGAGCGTTCGGTTCGTTGCCGGCGGCACACACGTAGTGCGTTGTCGTTGTTCTGAAGGGATTTTGCCGTCTGTGTGCACCTTTCACACGATTTGCCATGCTTCGCCTCGCCTGGGGGAGGCTCTTGCTGAAAGACAGGCTGCGCAGGAGTCAAAACGACAACGAATCCCCGTCGCGTGCCATGCCGTGCTCTGTGGAGGCGATCGGGGCACGCCAGCCAAGCCGCTGCTTCTCGGGGTTCGTTCTGCTCCTGCTTGTTGCTCGCTCTTCTCCACCACGCGGGCTTGGCCGGCAGGCCTCCCGGTCACGATTCGGACTGCAGAGCCCCCTCATCCTCGCTTCTTCCAGGCGTTCCAAGGAAGGACCTTGGGGCTGAATCTGGAATATTTCACTCCTGGCTTAGCACCGTTGCGTAAAAGGCGCGTCAGCCTCCTTCCTGCAAGGGCTCGTGCACGCGAGAACAAGCTAGGAGGGACATGCCTGGATTTCATCCTTTAAAAAGACCTCCCTGTTTCCTGGCCTTCCCTTTTTCAGTTTTTTTGGTATGTTTTGGCAAATGGATTAACCTGTCATGCGTTTTGTTTGAAAAACTGCTTTTCTCTTCATAACTTCCACCTTCTTCCTTACTTGTTTCTTTCTTTATCTTTGTCTCACTCTAATCTAGGATGCCAGGAAGGGACCTAGCACCCACATGAGACGCAATAGCGTCACCCCTCTGGCGAGCCCAGAGCCCACCAAAAAGCCTCGCATCAACAGCTTTGAGGAGCATGTGCCCACCGCTGCTTCCGCTGCCCTGCCCATCTGTGCTCCCCCGGAGGCGCCTTCCCAGCTGCCCGGACAAGTTGGTTACATTCTTTTGTTGGTGTGTGGTTGCTGTGTCTGTGTGATGGTGACGGCGGCTGAATGTTGCGGCCCGTGTCTGTGCACACTCGCGCTCCTCGGTTGCTTTCACACGTGGGAGGTCACGCCTGGGGTTGCTTCCTGTGACGGTTGTTTTGCAATGGACGGTACTCTGAGATCACACGTAACGTTCGTCTCTCGGCTTGTTTTCTCACTCACCTCCTCCCGCAAAAAAGCAAAATGCTTTGAAAGGATGGCAAAGAGTTCTGTGGCACCTTTGAAGATGAACAAATGATGCTGCCCCCAGTCTGTCTTGGGTCTGGGTTCAGACAACAGGCGAGGGTTGTGTCTGGGTTGTCCCTGAATCATAGGCTATCCTGTTCCCTGAATCCACGGTTTTCTGTGGGCTGTCCACCCATGGTTTGCTATCTTGGCTGGGTTCAGACATCACAATAACCCCTGGTTTATCAACAACCCTTACTCAACACCTGTGTGTGGGTTATCATCTTGTCCGAATGCAATCAGTCTATGTTCTCAGTATTGGCCGGCATCTACCAAAACGTATGCCAGAATTACTGATAGTCTGTAACGTGACACAAGACAACATACAAATGCAGTACTCCAAACCTTAGAAGCTGAGATTTTGCGTTACATGGTTTTGTTTATTAGATGTTTGCCTAAATATGTGGCCAAACAAGCTTCGTTATACCCTTGTGTGCTTTGAAGTTGGTTGTGGAGAGAAAGTTCTGCCCTTCGAACCCTTAAGACAACACGAATTTCAGAAGGAGAGATTAGATTATCTCTTTGCTTTTTCCTCCTTTGTTTCTTCACCACCTTATTATAGCAGGTCGTTTCCAATATCAGCTGAATTCTGTCATAAAAGCGCATTTTCGGTCCCGGTGTCTCCACATTACTGGGGCCTCTTGAAGAGGGCAATTCAGTTTCTGTACCAGTTGCACTACTTTTGTGCTCCAAGCCCAGTGGTCAAGACTGTGGCTCGGGATTGCCGAGCCTTCCACGAATTAACTCTGGGGCCGACCCCTCGGGAACTTTCTCAGCCCCAGGCTCCATTGTAATGAATGGGAACTGTGCAGAAAGGGTTAGGGTTTTGCTGCTTGTGTTGAATGGGCCTTGGGCAAGAGGACTTCCAGAAGAGGGGTGTTGCAGGTTCCCTAGGGCTCGATGCCCCAAGGGGTTTTGGAGGCTGACAGCCTCACTTGATCGTGGAACAAGACCAGACTTTCTCCATACTATAAAAAAATTAAAAAATGGATGGGTGCCTCCTTCGTGGGCCCTTCCTGATGGCACAATTTCCGACTGAATTTCTAGCCTGACCTGTCCTTTGATACCTATCTGCCTCTCTCCCTTGAGGCAGTCTCTGTGAGCAGTGATCCGATCAGGATCAGCTCTCCACTACCTTGCTGCTGCTGTTTGTGTTGTTGTCGTCGTCCTCCCGGCTGGTTGGAGCCAGGGGCTGCTTGGGACATTGTGTGACTTTGCAGATGAGGAAGTTGGGTGGCTTCGCATAATCGCGCTTTCTTAGCGGTTGGATTAATCCTCTTTCAGGGCTTTCTGATGCCTTTTGTTATCCAGCTTTGCACACCATTACTGATTTCTTTTCCATTTCTCTCCTCCTGTCCCCCCCCTTTTGTCTCTTCACAGCCTTTACTGGGAAAGGCCTGCCTGTAAGTATTCTCTTGCGGGTCGCCCTCCTCCTCAGTCGCCTGGCTGCCTTTGTTTCCCCTTCCGCTGCTTCCAAACCGTACTGAGCGCTTAGCCTTTCATGTGTGCCTTGCACCTTGGTTGGGGTTGCTTTACCGGTCTTTTTGGCTGGGGTGCGGAGGGATGGCTGAAATGAGCATCTCCAAGGACCTGCTCCTTCGTATCGGGGAGAGGAAGAGGGTGAGGCATGCCCTGCCCTTCTTGCCCGCTGCCTTGCCTTTTAGAGGAACGGCACGGGCTGAGTTGTAGACTGCACGAAGGCACGCAGGAGGCCCCTGTTCGGGTGTTCGGCTTGAAACCCGAGCAAGCTGCAGCAAGTCCTTTCTTTGTGGACAAGGGATACAATGGCATCCTTACCCGTAGCAGGCAAAGGCAGTCCGGGCCCCTCTGCACCATCAGGACCGCCTCTCCTGTCAACCCCGGCCATGTTTGCCAGGGATACGGCAAAGTTCAGTGTTCAGCACCCGGCGAAAGGGTTTGGCACTAGATCCAGGGCAAACAAGAGAAGGATCATTTGTGCAGCCCTTGTGTGGTTTGGGGGATCTGCAGCCCTCTGCTGTGGCTCAGAAGGAGAAGGCACCAGGTTGCACCAGTGTGTGGAGTCGCTTGTTTTGGGGGGCAGTCCTGCAGAGATGAATGGGAGCTCAGAAAGTCCCACTTCCGATTCCAAGAGGAAGTGCCATTTCGGAGGAGAACGCATCCTGGCAGCTCCAGCCTCCTCGGCTCCCTGCTTCCTATAACACCCCCTTTAGGAGAGCAGCTGCGGCAGTTCTTCCCACATCACCTGCGAGGGGGCAGGAGACGGGGTCAGGACTCCAGTTCCCAGCTCCAGGGTCAAAAGGCTGCATCTGCCTTCCCACCCTCCGATGCCCAAGGAGGGATTACAGAAAATCCTACAAGGATCTGCTACGGCAGTTGATAACAATAGTAAAAAATTAACACCATAGTACAGTAAAAGCGCCAGGGAAAACAGAAGGTGAAACGACAGCAGCAGCACCTGTCCATAGGTGTTTTCTGCTGTTATTTTTTTAATAATAATTTATAACAAAGATCTGATACCCCACAGCTTGAACACAACAACAGGACTTTCAGAGCCACTTCCAGGAATCTAAAATGCAGCCATCATGGTTCTGACATTGCTTTTAAGTTCGAAAGAGCCGCAGTGGCTCTAACGAAGGAAGCCCTCTGTCTGTGGCTCTTCGTAATTATGGCAGGGTTGCGCTTGACGTTCCCAAGGTGCAGTTGCAGCTTTTGGCATGGCCTTTTTCCTCTGTGCCGTTTGGCATCCTCAGCGTTTGGCTTTGCAAGGTGGACCCGGCAGCTGGCGGCACGAGAAAAGCCCATTTCCCCTAGCATGAGCTGGGGAAAAGTTGAAATTGCATTTTGTTTATATAATTAATTCCTATACCATCCAACGGCCAAAGCGCTTGGACGCCAGTGCTGAGGCAGGCATATCACGCTGGGTTTTGTTTTGTGCCATTTGGTTCAAGCCAGGGAAGAGAGAAGGTTGCATTTTTTAAGAGAGAAGGTTCTTTTTAGCAGTATTATCCTTCTCCACGGTGGTGTGGAAGGGTTAGCACAGCCTTCTCCCCCATGGGCCTCCAGGTGTGTTGGGAAAAAGCTCTGCCCACATCTGCCCCCCACTTCTGGGGTCCTGGGCAGCAGAAGGCTGGGTTAAGTCTCAGAGAAGAGCTTACCTGTGCATCTCCAGGGAGAGCATGGGAAGAAACCCGCACCTGTGGCAGCCAGCACCAATCCCTGCCTTGCCTTCCCCACAATCATTTGTGTGGGTTAAGCCATGTCAGCAGCATAAAGCATGTATTCTTTGTTTAAGTGCTGCTGGACTTGAATATAGGCCGTAACAGAGAATTACCACGTGCTAGGAGACGAAGAGGGCATTTAAGCTCCTTCCTGGCAGAGACTTTCCCCTCTTCCTGCAGCCTCCCAAAGCAGTTTTTCCGTATGTGTTTGTTATTGCTGCATTTCTATCCGGCTTTTCTTTCCCCTTAGGAGGAACCCAAGCTGGCTCATGTATCCTCCCCTTCATTTTATCCTCTCAACAACCCTGTGAGGTAGAGTAGGCCAATTGTCAGTGCTCTGTGAGCTTTCTGGCTGGGGAGCGGCAGAGTAGGGGGCGGAAGCCCCTCACCCGACTGATCAGGGCAGGCTGGCGATTCCTTTGCCACTTTGCCCATTGTGAGCTTCTCTGCTTTAGAGGAGCAATCCATGATGGTGGACCTGTTTTGGGGATGGGAGTCAGTACCATGGACAGCGCCTCTAAAGCTCAAAAGGAAAGCTGCGGTGGGTGAAGAACCCCCCCCCCCCCCGGGAAGGAGTAATGGGCCTCCCTCGAAGCTGTTTGTCTTTTGTGTTGCAGGATAAACCACTTGTGTGTGAGGGGGGAGAGTACTCTGCCCCTCCTGAGTGTTGGAGTCATGTCACACTCCGAGAATGCTGATACTTTTTAAGTCTCGCTGAAATCCTTCCAAATTAAATGGGCTCCGTTTTGTTTTGTTTTGTTTCGCTTTGCGTCGTGTTCTGTTTTCCTCGCTTGGTGCTTGCGTCTCATCCGAAGGCATTAAAAGCGTCAGAAGCCAAACAAGGCACATGGCATGCAAAGCAAGGCTGCCCCAGTTCAGAACATAGCACAGCCCCCAAAGTCCAGGATCCGGGCATGTGCTTTGCATGTGGGAGCCCCCCACCCCCCACCCCAGCACCTCATCTCTCGGGTTTGGTCCCCCAGCTTCTCTGATCAAAGGGTATCAAGCCAAGGACCAGGATGGTCTTCTGCTTGAGATGTGGAGAGCATTTAAAGTCCAAGCAAACTTCATATGCTGTAAATTGCAAGAAAGCTGCTCTCCTGTGTTGCGTTTCGCTGCGCAAACTGCAATGGGGGCGTGGCTCTCTCCATTGCACCTTTAACACGCATGTCGCTTCATCTGGAGGAAGAGAACCCCCTGCATGCACAAGCCCTTCTAGAATATGGGTGGCCTGCTAGGGAAGCTCCCAACATTCCAGTGTTGGGTGGAGTTAAAAATGCTCTATTTATTCTCTTCTGGCCAGTTAGCAAAGCTTTGGGAGAGCATTTGGACCTCTTAGAATGGTGCGTGGCCACCGACAACCAACGGTCCAGGAATGGGATGGAGTCAAAGGAAGGGCTCGGCTCGTTCGGCCCCAAAAGGCCACACTAGAGTGCAAGGGAGGCCGGCTTTGGCTTCCATGTCTCTTCTGGATAATCACACCGCATGCTTCTCCTTCACGGCTTTTCTCTCTTTCCCTTTTCACGCTGAAAGACGACCCATTGGTTACTTTCTCAAACTTTTTGCTTTACTAATATTTCCAAGGTAAAGGGGCTTGCTGCCCGGCATGTCATTCTACCCCCAGCCTAACCAAACGGCACTGGAATAACTCCTTGAGACGGTGCATGTACTTGCTCCTGCTTGCATTTTGGGGAAGAGGCGTGTCTTGGCCAGAGCTGCCTGGAAATCAGAAGTTACCCGTGGGGAGAAAGAGTTTTTGGCTCTTGCTGGCACACGCGTGAGACCCAGAAATACCTTCTAACTTGTATGGTCTGCTAGTATCCCATTACATGCCACGGCCCCGCGTCAGAATTCGCTTTCTGGTGCATAACTGGAGTGGCAGTGGCCTTCCGTTCATTTCCCTGCATGCTTGTCATGCCTTCCTGCAAGAGCCGATAAATGCAGCCACCTTTAAAGGAACCAGGGGGCTAAATTCCACCACAGAGGCTCCTGCGGCCACATTCCAGTGCTGGGTGGGATGAAAACTGTCACGATCCCTTTCATCGCTGTGCCGCCCAAGAGCAAAAACTTTCTGGAAAGTTCACAAGAGTTCATAAACACAGATGCAATAATAAAAATAGGTGGCATTTGAAAGTACAATCAAAGGGAGCATACGATTCCAATGTGCACAATCCAAAACCGTTCGGACGATTTAAAATCATTTCAGTGAACAGTAGAGCTGTTCAAACAGGTTGCGGCTCCCACTCAGTGCAACTGAACGCCTGGGAGTAAGAGGGCAATCTCAACCAACCTGGCACCAGAAAGTTAACTCTGTGGGCACCGAATGGGCCACAGGGAGATCATTCCTGAATTGAGGGGCCACCACTGAGAAGGTCCCCTCCCTTGGTGCCTCCCTTTGGACCTTTCTTGGAGGGGGCACTCAGAGGAAGGCCTTGGGGGTAGACGGGCATGTCCAGGTGTGAGCATTCCCTTTAAAGCTTAGCAGATCCTTCCAAGCTTTAAGAGTGGAAGAAGGCTCCTCAGAAACCCTCAAACCCTGAGCATGGCTGGGTGGGAACCGCAGGGCTTTCCCTGTCTAGCCATCCTAACATCACACCCTCACAGTGCTGTTGGTTTCTCCCAGAATAGCGGTGCATTCTTGTGGTGCCCCCTTCTTGAGAGCAAAACACTCAGTCCCCACCCCCACCCCCTTTCGGTTACTCCTTATCAAGCAACCCTTTGCAACCTGCTGTCCCCCAGAAGTGTTGGATTGCAGTTCCCATCAGTCCCCACCACGAGCCATGCGGGCTGCCATGATGGGAGTTGCAGTCCCACACATCTTAAGGGCACCGTGTTACAGAAGGCTGGAGTAGAGCATGGCTGGTGAACACCCCCCGACGGCATCTTTCCCAGAATTCGGCGCAAGAGGCAGAACGAGAGGACACATGCCAGTGTCAAACCTCCTCCATGCATCTTAAGATGTGGCTGTTTTCTGTGCGATTGTTTTGCCCGGTAGCTGCTACCTCCCCGGAGAGGGTTCCCACAGCAACCTCTGCCATGGCATTTCATTGGCCTTCTTTCCATCTGCATGCAGCAGATGTCTCGTTTCTCCTTTGCTTCCAGGCTTCCTTTCCTTTGTTGCCTTGACTTTTGTCGTCGTCCGCGGTGTCTTTTCCAAATGTTCAACCCTCAACTCAATGCTGCTTCTCTCTCTCTGCTGGCAGAACCTGAATAGCTCCCACAAGCAGCCTTGAATTTCTCCAGGCGATGCGTGAAAATCCCATCAACGGAAACCCAGCTCCATTGCGTCACTCATCTCTGAAGCTTGTGTCTCCCGTGCGCCTCTGTTGGACTCAAGGCTGACCCACGTGGGCAATTCCCATCACTGTTCATCTGCCTATTCGGACTTACCAGATGGAGTTTGGAGGGGACGGGTGGGGGGAACACGGAGAGTAAGAAGAGGAGGAGAAAGCAAACATCTCATTTTAATGTCAACTGGAGCTAACACCTCATTTTTACCTGTTTTTTCCTGTTCTCCACTACTCCAGCCCAGGCCCTGGTTTGGGTAGATCATAAGCACTCCACGTGTCTCAAGTCTTTTTTATTAACTCTAAAGTGACACAGTTGCCTTGCAGAGAACGAGGTGGAAGGTGCTTTGCTGCCTCGACAGACGTGTGTAAATAAAAGATGGTGGTTTGTGTTGGTGCACGCAAGGAGGAGGGGTGTAGCTAGGTACGGGGGCACCGGAGGCCTTCCTCGTGACACCGAAGTGCGCTCAGTCTTGCCGGTTTGTATGTCTCTTCTGCTGCCCCCTCTCCCACCCCAAAGTAAGAAATCGGTGGAGGTCACCTATACCTACAGAAAGCACGGCTGTTCTGGTGAGGGTGGGGATCCGCTGCTTGATTTTTAATGACAGCAAAACCCATTCCCGGGCCTCTTTCCAAGTATTGAGAAGCTGCATGGGGGATTCCTTACCACTCCGCGAGCGCCTCGCATTGGGCCCAGGCAGATCCTCCAGCAATTCGTGCTGAAAAGTCGCTGGCATGCTTCGCTCGGCACCAGGCTGGGGCTGCGCGGGTGCAAAACAACCATTTGACTTCTATTTTATTTCCGGGGACTGCAGGGAAGGGGAAGGGCTGGCTCTACAGAGGCCACGCCTGCATGGCACTCTGCAAGAAACTGCCTCGCTCCCTTTGCTTCTTTTGGCTTCCACGCTGCCAGATGTCCGGCCCATTGTAGGTGCAGTATTGTTATGCATTGCTCATACGTGGATCCGCCCCCCCCCCCCCCCAGCCACCTGCTTCAGTTGCTGCATGCGCTGGGTTCTTTAAAGACTTCAGGCAGAAGTGATGAGCAGTTGGATGCACGCGGGTCGCTCAGCTCTGCAGGGCTGCGCACTGATCCTGATGCGCACTCGCGCAAGGGTGGTGGCCACGCCCTTGAATTGCTGGATCAAAGGGAATTACCGGACACCCATCACTCTTCTCCAGAACAGATTAATAAATCCATTTCCAGTTAGCCGAGTTTTAGATCCAGCAACCCAACTTTGTGGGGGATGCCATTCATGACTCTAATATGGACGTAACCCATAACAACAGTGAGAGAAGATGTTCTGATCTGTTGAGATAGAGACATCTGAGGGATTCTGCACTAGGGAAGCCCCTAGGTTATCAACTCTGGTTGAGTTTTATCTTTTTAAGGGACGGTCCTATACATATCTAGCTGGAAAAGACTGCATGCTCGCATTGTTTTGCTCGCATTATGAGCTCTCCTCTTACCAGGCTTTTCTAAAAATGGACCCCCCCATTTTGGAGCAGTCGGGTGCAAGCAGCGCCTGACGTAATGAAAAAATATTGCCAGCGGTGGGTCCTTTACTAGCCCCATCAGGGATGGAATGTGGGACTGAGGCTCCTCCACCAGGGTTCTTGCCCACATCTACCCACTTGCACACTTCCACTTAGCAGGCAAGGCCTTCCTCGGACTGGGCAGTGACCCAGTGGGAATTGGGCCCTCTCGTGCGCCGAGGTTCGCCTTGGCATGGCCGAGCAGCCGTTCCACCCACCTGCCACAGCAGGTGCTTTTGCATGGCTTAACACTGAGCCAAAATGTTCCACCACCTGTGGCCCAGTCGGACACCCGAAGATTTTCTCACGAGCAAGGAGCCTGTGCATGCAACCTGTGCATTTTGCGTTTCCAGCGTGTTTCGCATGCATTGCCTTCCCTTCCTTGCTTGCCCCCCCCCCCCCAGCATTAGCTGCTAGGGTGTCCCCCCTGCTCCCCTAGTTTTAAAAACTTATTTAAACAAAATTCCCTGCACAGCCAGCGCTTTCTTATTTTCCTTCACCCCCTGCCCTGGCTATATCAGTCTGTTGCAAACCACAAAAAAAAAAAAAAAAAGCTCTAGCCCTCGTGATGAAATTGCAAACTGTCCTTTGCTTGATTTTTGTAGCCTGGATTGGAAAGAAATGGGAATTGGGAGTTCAGGAACTGGATTCCTTCCCTTGCTTCCAAGAAAGATGTCCTGGGATAAAAAGCTTCCCTATTCAGCAATTGGAATGAAAGCGGGGAGCCTTGGTGCGTGTGTCTTTGGTTTTTCTAAGGTGCCCGTGGGGGAGAGGAGGCCGTGCTGTCGTCGTGCCCGTCGAATGAGAAAAGCGAGTGAAAGCCACTCAAACGGCCTCGTGTTTTGGTTGCATTTTTCCTTTGATACTTGAATTTATATTTTTATCATTTTTAATAGCAAAGTGCTATTTATTTATTTAACTGATGCTGAACTGAGAGGAGGGGTTTTCTTCATGATTTGTGTGATGTTGATTTTGTATATATTTGGGGGTTTTTTTGCCTGAGACGAAGCAGTGCCAGCTTATAAAACAGGTTTGCCTTTTGGAAATTTGTATATTTTGCAGTTGCTGGACCAATAAAACCATCTTGAAATAAAAAAAAACTTGGTTGTGTTTTCCTCTGCAAAAGTTGGCCCCACTTCGTGGAAAATGGGTGAAGCTCAGGGGTGTGGTTTTGAAGCACAAGTCCTGCCTGCTGCAGATAACGGGAAGTAAACATCTCTGGTGTCTGCTTTGAATCCACGTTGGGCATTTTTCTCCAGAGATTTCCTGCAGCAGCTGAGGAGCGTGGTGTCTGGAAGACCTTTGCAGGCTTTCCAGTCAAGCCCTTGACTCTCCCACCTTTCAGTCCGACACCCCGATGTTCACCTTCTGCAACACCCCTGTGAGGTCGGTTAGTCAGAAAACGCATTTGCTAAGGTTGCCCCGTGAGCTCCACGGGCTCAACCGAGACTCAAATCTGCTTTCTCATTTTTCCTAGCAGCCCGTTTGCTGCTGCGTCATTTTTTTGATTCAACACAGCCCTGTGACACGTCCGCAGAATGGATTTTGGAAATGTGAAATGGCACTGAAGCGAGCATTAAAATCTGTGGTATAAAAGCTGGTGGAATTAAAAAGGGACCCTAGAAGCAGGGGAAAGCTCCCAAACGCAAGGCAGTGGCTTCTTCCATGGAGTCTGTCCACCTCGTAATTGGCCTTCCCCTTCCTCGGCCTTCAAGTTTCCCTAACACAAATGCCTTCTCCAGTGAGTCTTGGCTTCTGTGATTTGCTGGAAGTATGACACCCTGAAATCTCATACCCCCCATAATTTCACAGATGAAAACATTTCTGACTGCTGTTAACATCACGCCTCACCTCTAACACACAACTTCAGGTATTTTTCATGCATTCGATGAATGTACCCTGAAAAGACTTGTCCTCCTCCATTTTGGGGCTGAGAACATAGGGTAGATGAAGCACAGTAGAAACAAATCAGGATATCTGAACCTCTAATTCATGCTATGCTCCTATGTTCTGTTAGCCAACATTCAAAATGGTCCGGCACCATATAATACAAAGAGGCAAAGTGTTTGCTTATTTATTTAGTAAATTTATATACTGCCAAACATGGTTTAAAATACCTCTGAGCGATAAAATCTTTGGTGCTTTAACATGTGCATTAGACGCATATTTGCATCTTTATCCCATGCGTCAAAGTTCACCTCCTTTCCTCAGGGCTGCCAAAACATAACCCATGATATTTCATTGCTCCCAGAGAATATTTAACCTGGGCATTCCTCAAAAGTAAACTAGAGTTGTTCAGACTTTAAACAGGGACCGTGGAAATGAATTGTTGAGCCCAACACCCAGCCATCTGTCAGGACTGACACATTCCTAGCCAGACTTTGAAACAGGATGAAGAGGGTCGGTCATCCTATGCTTGCGGAGGTCCATCAGGCAGAGGGTGCGGTGGGATTTGGAAGAAAGCTAACAGGATGGTGTGGGAAGGCTGGAGTGTATGTCCCCATTCATTTCAGTTTCTCTGGCGTGGGTAGGAGGGCAGAAATCGGTTTTTTCTTGCATGCTGCTGCAAAGCATCTGAGAGAAGGCAAGATTGCTCAGAAACTCTACAGCCCTTCTGAGATTCGGAGAGGCGAGTCTGGGGACAAGATCAGGTACTTTGTCTAGGGCTCTGTTACCAAGTCCCCTCACTGGGCCCCCTTTTTGGCCACAGAGAGAGAAATTCAAACCTGTTTTTCACTTTCAAAATAGACGCATCTTTGTAATCAGGGCTTACCTGACTTCAAAGTTCTGAACTTTTGTGGCAGCAGCTCTTTTAGCCTCTTTTCTGCTGAGTCACACTAGAGATCTTTGCACAGTTTCTGTTTTATTGTGCATACAAAAAGAACTAAGCAACACCATTCAAAACACAATATTTGAACAGTGCTTAAGAAAAAAGACCGTAGCCTTAATTACCTTTATATTGTGTATAGCAGAATGAACAATCATTCATTATTGTTTTCAATAACATTATTGTTATCAATAATTATGCATGTACTCGGACAAAAGAACCCCTAATATCCATATATTTACCCATTTGTAAATTATGCCTAAAGGGCACCCATTCAAAAATTGAGAGTTTCATTACATCCTCCTCCCATTGTATTATGCCGGGGGGGGAGGGGGGGCATTTATCCTTCCATTGTCAACAGGGTGCAAAAATCCATTTACATTGACCTTGTGTTAGGTTCCAAGAGATGGGTGGGTAATTTAAAAGAACCTGTGCATTTTAAATATTAAAAAACCCTTTTCATCTCAAGATTTATCTGAATTATTACCTCCTCCCCAAAGGAAGGCAAAAGGAAAACAGGAAGACCAAGCAAGAGATGGATGGATTCCATCAAGAAAGTCAGAGCCTGGAATTTAGAACAGCTAAGCAAGGTTGCCTGGATGGACAGGATATTGGGGGCGGGGGGGGGGGCTTTCATTTATAGGGTCACCCTAAGTCGGAGATGATTTGGTGGCAGTGAATCACAACAACCCTGCAGTGTGGCCTAGACTCAAGTCAGCGTGGCAGAAGGGAGTGGGGGAATCCTGTTGGGACTGATTGTGTCCAGATACAACGGGAACATGCATCTAATATGCTGCCTTAATCTGCCCGTCCCAGGCAATGAACATCAAAAGCTACTTTAGACTTTCTAGCTCAGTTTGGTGATGCTAATAGCAGGAAGGCGCCCGGGTTTCCTGCAGAAGCTTCCCAGCCCTACCTGGAAGTGTCAGGGCCCAAACAGGGACTGTTTGCATGGAACCAGGGATGAGCTCTGGACCTCTCCCAATTCTGACTGCTTGATAACAGAGGATCTGCTGCTTTTCTTTCCCCGCTTCCTTCCTTTCCAAAGCATTCTATAATTTCGGGAAGGCAAAACAGACATCCTCCCACTTTGGCACCCCCATGCTATAATTTTTGCTTTAAAATCATATTCTCCTTTCCAACAATAAGATTCCCAAAAAGCTGTTAAACTTCAGGGATGCCAAATCAAACTCCTAATTTGAAAGGCATGATCGTGGCAAGTAAACAGTTATTTTTTCCAGGTAGGGTTTGCTTTTATTTTTATACTAGGAGTGCAGAAGCAGTTGTGAAGCTTAGTGAGGGGAGCAGAGATAGGCTACCCACATGCTTCAGGGTCGCTTCCGGTGGCTGGGTTCACACAACAAATGAACCCCGTACAGTGCATGGTTAAAATTCCCCTTTGATGGATGATTCTGCTTTTCTTGGCCTGCTACTCTCTAGATTAGAGGTGGAGAATGTGGAACTTTTGCACAGTTGTTGGGCTGGAGGTCCCATCAGCCCTGAGAGTTGCAGTCCCACTACATCTGGAGGCAAACATATACTCCATCCTTGCTCCAGATGTCTTGGACTCTTGGCTAATGGAGGCCAAGTCCTCCCAAGGGTACCCAGATGTATAACCCTGCAGTGCTGAATTTCTAAATCATTGCCTCTCCTTAAACAAGAAAACAGATCTTCGGATTTACCTCAAACCAATGCCAGCATCCCGCTCTTGGACACACACCTTAATGTGCTGAGGGGGATGGAGAGCATCAGGAAGCCAAGAGCCATGGCACCAGGAGGCCAGGCTGTCTCCCTGGGTGGCCAAGGCGCATGGACAAAGCAGAGAGAGCAAGCTACGATGCATCCAGCCTCTTCAGGACGAAGGGCTGCACCAGGAGAAAAGACGGGATCTCTGTCATGGTGATGGGGACCGAGAAACTCCTGAAGGGCAGCTATGGGTCAATGTCATGGAACCTTAGAATCAGAGAACAGTAGAGTAGGAAGGGGCCCTGAAGGCCATCGGGTCCAACCCGCTGCTGTTGCAGGACACCGACCTACACCATCCCACTCAGGTGGCTGTCCAGTTTCTTTTTAAATGCCTCTAGTGTGGGAGAGCCCCCCACCTATCCAGGCAGCTGCTTCCCCTGCTGTATTACTTTGATAGTGAGGAAGCTCTTCCTGATGTCCAGCCTGAATCTGGGTTGTCACAAGTCCTGCACTCTGGCATCAGCAAGGAGAGATCTTGGCCTTCCTCTTTGTGATAGCCTTTGAGGTGCTTATAGAGGGATCTCCTGCCCCCCTCAGCCTTCTCTTCTCAAAGCTGAGCATGCCCAGTTCTCACTCTCTCCTCACAGGGCAGTGTTTCCAAACCCTGGGTCATTTTGTTGCCCTCCGCTGGACCCTTTCTAATTTACCTGCATCTTTCTTAATTCTTGGTGCCCAGAACTGGGCACAGTATTCCAGGTGAGATCTGGCTAATGAGGAGTATAGGGGAACTACTACTTCTCGTGATTTGGCAATAGCATTTGTCCTTTATGCAGCTGCATTGCATTGTAGGCTCATATTTAATCTGTTGCCCACAATAATTCCAAGGTCTATTTCTTTTGCAGTTTTGTTCTGTACTAGTAGTTCAAGGTGACACAAGGAAAGGATCTTTCACAGACAGCAGCAGTGACATTCAAGCCAACTCTGGTTAGAACTGCACCCAAAAAAGCAAATGGTAAACCACTTTGAATTTTCGTACCCTGAAAGCTTTATAATGGAACAATTCACAATGAAACAAAAGATAGTGGCAGAAGCTGAGACTCCCTGCTCAGAAAACACTCAACTTCTGGGAAGAGCAAAGGCCAAGTTCAAATAGCTCTGTTATTAATGATGCAACTGGAACAAAGCTGAAAATATACCCAGAGGCGAACAGAAAGTCCAGTGCTGCAGAGCGGATACAGCCGGAACATGAACATGTGACGTGTGAATCAAAGCAATCTGGAAGCAGGAAATGGATTGAGTAAATATTGCAGTACTTGGGTGTGAGCACACCGGAGTGGCCTGGAATCAGACATTTACAATCTGGCCGACTCAAAGGTTTTACACTGGAACGGACAAGCCCAGAAGGACAGGGTGGATCTGATACTGAAGCAAGATGTGGCACAGGCAGGCAGGGGCTCCAAAGCAAGGCCTGCACTCCAACAGATCCAGAAAAGAGTTCTGTGGATACTGTGGGCTGGCAGAAAGAGGAACGAGTGCGTCCTAGAGCCAATCAAGACGGAACGTTCCTGGAGACAAGCGAGGCGGAAC